TCAATTATTTTACTATCTGTGAAGTAATATTAGTTATTACTAGAATGGGACAGGTTCAGTATCAATCATCTCTGAAAAACCTTCTCCATATATATAAATAGATATAAATGGAAGCACATCTGTTACTGCTATGTCACCCAATTCTTTAACCTCTTCCTAGTTGTATGCCAAAAATCACATAATTTTCTATTTTCAAAAATTACTTTTAATTATCTAATAGCTGTCAATTTGATTAGTTTCTCCTTTGGTTTTTGGAAGGAAAGAACTGGAAAGTACCTGACTTTCAAAAGGGCTTATTAGTGACTAGTCATTCATCTCCTCATTTTGTGAGGTTAGCAAGACTTACCAACTAACTACCAATTGTACCCAAGTGTCTATGAGAGGCACTTTGTTTAATCTAGTAAAGAAAGGTTAGAATATTAAATATTGTTGAATTCAATACAACACAATATTTTCTATCATAAAATTTGCACTGCTTTGGTTTTTACATTTAAAATTAAAAATTCAACTTCTCAGCTACCTTAGCCACACTTAAACTGCTCAATAGCCACATGTGGTTAGTGCTATGCTATTAGTCAATATACATTTAGAAAATGTCCACCACATAATTTCAAGCCAAAAATCTATAATAGACATACACACAAAAAAGAAAAAGGAATCCAAACATAATACTGATATAAGTATTGCTACTCCAGCGTTCTTTTCCATACAAATGGAATACCTTTTTCCATCTCCTCACTTTCAGTCTGTATGTGTCTCTAGATCTGAAGTGAGTCTCTTATAGGCAGCAAATATATGGGTCTTATTTTTGTATCCATTCAGCCAGTCTATACCTTTTGGTTGGAGCATTTAAGCCATTTACATTTAAGGTAATTATGATATGTATGCTCTTACTGCCATTTTGTTAATTGTTTTTGATTTGTTTTTGTAGGTCTTTTTCCCCTCTCCTTTTGTTCTTTTGTGATTTGGCATAGCAAAAATAGTTCTAAGAGGGAAGATTATAGCAATACAAGCTTACCTCAGGAAATAAGAAAAATCTCAAATAAACAACCCAAAGCAACTAGAGAAAGAACAAACAAGACCCAAAGATAGTAGAAGGAAAGAAACCATAATGATCAGAGCAGAAATAAATGACAGAGACTAAAAAAATTTTTTTAAAGGTCAATGAAACTAAAAGCTGGTTCTTCACAAAGACAAACAAAATTAATAAACCTTTAGCCAGACTAATCATAAAAAAAGGGAGATGGCCTAAATCAGTAAAATCAGAAATGAAAAGGAAGTTACAACCAACACCACAGAAACATAAAGGATCGTAAGAGGGTACTATGAGCAAGTATACACCAATAAAATGGACAACCTAGAAGAAATGGATAAATTCTTAGAAAGGCACAATCTCCCAAGACTGAACCAAGAAGAAATAGAAAATATGAACAGACCTATTACCAGGACTGAAATCAAATCAGTAATTTAAAAAATCCCAACAAACAAAAGTCCAGGACCATATGGTGTCACAGGTGATTTCTACCAAGCCTTTAGAGAAGAGTTAATCCTTATCCTTCTGAAACTATTCCAAAAAAATGTAGAGGAAGGAACACTTCCAAACTCATTCTATGAAGCCATCATTACACTGATACCAAAACCAGACAAAGATATCACAGAAAAGAAAATTACAGGCCAATATCACTTATGAACATAGATGCAAAAATCCTCAACAAAATACTAGCAAACCAGCTCCAACAATACATTAAAAGGATCATACGCTATGATCAAGTGGGATTTATTCCAGGGATTCAAGGCTTTTTCAATATCAGCAGGTCAGTGTGATACACCACATTAACAAACTGAAGAATAAAAACCATATGATCATCTAAACAGATGCAGAATAAGCTTTTGATTAAAATTTAACAAACATTTATGATAAAAACTCTCTAGAAAGTGGACATAATGGAGGTCATATATGACAAACTGACAACTAACATCATACTCAATGGTGAAAAGCTGAAAGCATTTCCTCTAAGATCAGGAACAAAACAAGGATGCCTACTCTTGCCACTTTTATTCAACATAGTTTTGGAAGTCCTAGACATAGCAATCAGAGAAGAAAAAGAAATAAAAGGAATCCAAACTGGAAAAGAAGAAGTAAAACTGTCACTGCATATGACATGATACTACACACAGAAAATACTAAAGAGGCTACGAGAAAACTGCTAGACCTCATCAATGAATTCAGTAAAGTTTCAGGATACAAAATTAATATACAGAAATCTCTTGTATTTCTATACATGAACAATGAAATATCAGAAAGAAAGAAATTGAAGAAATTAAGGAAACAATCCCATTTACCATTGCATTAAAAAGAATAAAATACCTAGGAATAAACCTACCTATGGAGGCAAAAGACCTGTACTCTGAAAACTACAAGAAGTTGATGAAAGAAATTGAAGATGACCCAAACAGATGGAAAGATATATCATGTTCTTGAACTGAAAGAATCTATAATGTTAAAATGGCCATACTACCCAAGGCAGTTTACAGATTCAATACAATCCCCATCAAATTACCAATGACATTTTTCACAGAACTAAAACAAACAACCAAAAATTTAATTTGTATGTAAATACAAAAGACCCCAAATACACAAAACAATCTTCAGAAAGAAGAGAGTTAGGGGAATCACGCTCCGTGACTTCAGACTATACTACAAAGCAAAAGTAATCAAAACAGTATGGTAATGGCACAAAAACAGACACATAGCTCAATGGGACAGGATAAAAAGTCCAGAAATAAACCTACACACTTATGGTCAATTAATCTATGACAAAGGAGATGAGAATATACAATGGAGAAAAGACAATCTCTTCAGGAAGTGGTGCTGGGAAAACTGGAGAGCTTTATGTAAAAAAATGAAATTAGAACATTCTTTAACACCATATTAAAAAAAACTCAAAATGGATTAAAGATCTAAATGTAAGACTGGATACTTTAAAACTCCTAGAGGAAAACATAGGCAGAATACTCTTTTGACATACATCAAAGCAATATTCTTTTAACCCATCTTTTAGAATAATGGAAATAAAAGCAAAAATAAGCAAATGAAACCTGATTAAACCTGAAAGCTCTTGCAGAGCAAAGGAAACCATACATAAAAGTGAAAAGACAACCCACAGAATGGGAGAAAATATTTACAAATGATGAGACCAACAAGGGCTTAATTTCCAGAATAAACAAACAGCTTATACAGCTTAATAACTAAAAAAAAAAAACAAAACAACCCAGTCCAAAAATGGGTAGAAGACATAAATATACCATTCTCTAATGAAAGCAGACGAATGGCCAATAGGCATGTGAAAAATGCCCAATATCGCTACTTATCAGAGAAATGCAAATCAAAACTACAATGAGGTATCACCTCACACCAGTCAGAGTGGCCATGATAAAAAAGTCCACAAACGATAAATGCTGGAGAAGATGTGAAGAAAAGAGAACACTCCTACACGGTTGGTGGGAGTGTTGTTCAGTGCAGCCATTATGGAAAACAGAATGTAGAGTCCTTAAAAAGCTAAAAACAGACCTATGATCCAGCAATCCCACTCCTGGGCATACATCCAGAGGGAACTCTTAATTTGAAAAGATACATGCACCCCAGTGTTCACAGAAGCGCTATATACAATAGCCAAGACATAGAAACAACCTAAATGTCCACTGACAGATGATTGGATAAAGATGATGTGGTGCATATATATATACACACAAACACACACACACATATAAATAATATATATATATACACACATACACACACACACATACACATGGAATATTTCTCAGTCATAAAAAAGAATGAAATAATGCCATTTATAGCAACATGGGTGGACCTAGAGATTATCATATTAAGTGAAGTAAATCAGACAAAGACAAATACATGCTATCACTTATATGTGGCATCCAAAAAGAAAATGATACAAATGAACTTATTTACAAACCAGAAATACACTCACAGACACAGAAAACAAACTATGGTTACTAAACGTGAAAGGAGTGAGGGAGAGGCATAAATTAGGAGTTTGGGATTAACATATACACACTACTATAAATAAAATAAATAAACAACAAGGACCTACTGTATAATAGAGGGAATTATATTCAGTATCTTATAATAACTTATAATGGAAAAAATACGAAAAAGAATATATATGTATATGTATAATTGAATCACCTTATTGTATACCTGAAACTAACATGAAATTGTAAACCAACTATACTTCAGTACGAAGAAAAATTTAAAAAAAGGAAAATACTCACCACATAATCTAAGTAGTAAAGCTAGTCTTCATTGTAAATTAATCAGTAGAATTAGATTTACTTTCCATCAGAAAGTCTTTATTTCTCAACAAAAAATTATGTTAATGTGCAATGTGATAATTATCAAAACACTTACACTCTATATAAACTACATAACATTTTATAAACTACTATAAAAATATATAAAATAGATTGATACTGTTACAAGAACTTGAATAAATGTAACCTCTTTTCCACTCTGTAAGTATACAACCATCTATTTTTTTCACTTTTGGCTTCAGATTTTTACCTAATGTCCAGCATATAGGCCTAGAACTCAATAAATGTTTTTGAATGAATCATAACTGTATAACTTCATATAGCCAAGTAAGTTTTTGTACTAATGACTCAAAGGAAGAGACAGAAGCTCAACAGGGAAAAGATGAATTAATATTCTCTTTTATGGCTACCAATTCCTAACGCTGGGAAGCCCCTTGAACAGTATTTACTTCCTCAAAATACTTCTCCATACCTGAGAGATAATGGTATAAATCAGAATGATTTGCTATAGTCTAATGATTTTTCCTAGCATTCATGTGGCAGAAATTTCTCTGTGGTTACATGGTAAATATAACGGGCTAATTTTAGGTTAGTAAGTGAGGTTCCATGGTAATAACTTCCCCTCTGAGGAAATATTGGTGCAGAAGATTTGTACTTACCTTGAGGATTTCTGAAGAGGGCACTAGCTCAAGTTCAAAGACACAGGAAAGACCTCTAAACATAACCAAAGTACATTATAATTATTATCCCAGCTCCTGAAGAATTCAGAGATGGACAGAAATCCAGGTGATAATGTTTTCACGCAAATACTTCTGCCACTTACACCTCTTATATGGGGCCCTCTATACTTCACTGAACTTTTTGATGTAACCACTTATTTTTATAAGTTCAAATAATACCAAATATGTTTGATTTAAAACTTTATTGAGGCCTACTTTTTAATCCACTTCACCACAAGTATTACTTCTCTTTGAAATCTTCACTTACTTTCATTTTTAAATATTTATCTTTATTTCTATAGAAACTGGTACATGATATTTTTATTTTACACATCCAGAACTGTAATAGTTATTTGTACATTTGTATTATTTCACTTATTTGGTATTAAGCTTTTTAAGGATATTAGTTATCTTTGTATTTAGTCTTCAACCAATCATTTAATCAATACTATGAAGTATCCACAAATATTGCACAATGTGACACATAATAGAATATAAACATGGACAAGAGATATATAGTTCCTGATCATATAGAACTTGGGGAATATACTGCTTATCATTTACATAAAAGGCTTTTTATAAGTATTTGTAGAATGTATATGAGAAAACTTTTTTTTGTGGTAGGTGGGATTTTAAAATATATCCGTTGTAATCGTAATTAAAATAAAAGCTAGTTGGACTGTGAATCTACCAAAGAACTAAGTTAATAAATGATCACCTATATCCACGATAAAAGTGGTAAAGAAATAAAGTAAATAATTAAAATCACAGTTAATCTATCTTTTTTTATGGAAGGAAAATAACTATGACTGTTAAGTATCACCTGCAGTAATTGGTAAAATTCCCAGACAGCCAATACCTCGTCCTAGGAAGCATACTACTTTCTGAAACAGAATTATCCCAACCTAAACAACCTAAATGTCCATCAACAGGTGACTGGATAAAGAAGATGTGGTATATTTATACAATGGAATACTACTCAGCCATAAAAACCGACAACATAATGCCATTTGCAGCAACATGGATGCTCCTAGAGAATGTCATTCTAAGTGAAGTAAGCCAGAAAGAGAGAGAGAAAAAAAAATACCATATGAGATCGCTCATATGTGGAATCTAAAAAACAAAAACAAACAAACAAACAAAAACAAGCATAATACAGGACAGAATAGACTCATGGACAGAGAATACAGACTTGTGGTTACCGGGGTGGGGGGCGGGGTAGAGGGTGGGAAGGGATAGACTGGGGTTTCAAAACTGTAGAATAGATAAACCAAGATTACACTGTATAGCACAGGG